ACAGAACACTCAACCCAAGGCTGTGTTCAGCCCCATGTTAACACAGCTGGGTGCGGAATGCAAAGCCTCTAGAAGGAGGGACGCAGGTCAGGCGGAAGGGGCCACTGGCATCGCTCAGAGCCAGCCAGACTCCAAACTGGGAGCCTAAGTGGTTTTTTTTCTCTTCCTGGGACATTCTACTTGAATTACTGTTCAATTAGTCAACACAATAGATCTTCAAAAGAGAACAGTCAATTAGCATGGTAAGGAGGTTACTGCATTCTTTGGACTATGTGTCATAATTATAGTTAGCAAATTCTGACAGTCTTAACAAAAATAGCCTCCATCACTTGCAGGTATGAAGATAACTTAATTCTTCATAGGGCTTTTTGTTTTTGTTGGATGACAATATATGACTGACAACTATAAATGATAGTGTTTTATGATATAAAAATACTAGCTTTTTTCATTTATTATGTTTACAGGCATTCACTGCTTGAGTCAAGGTTAGACTTGTTAAGTGATTAAAGGCAATTTTATTACAGCAGCATGTACTTATTTTATTCTAAAATAATAAAATGCATAAACAGAAATAGCTTTTATTTTTATTTGCGATCTGTAAAATTGAGTTATTTTGCTGATGTAAAATACCAATAACTCACTTGAGGACCATGCCGACTTCTGAAAATGCCACACACCTACTTCTTAAATGTGTTAAAGTTACAGCATGTCCCAGACTTGTCCAGAGCAAAAGAAGCGACTGCTCTTGACCATGCCTTCCCCGGCGACAGCACTGTATTGGGAAAAGCCAGAGTGAGAATTTTTATTTAAAGGCAAAACACCTAAAATGGCTCTCTGTAGGTGGTATCTACTTTCACACTCATCAGATTGTACATGATCCCCTACCCTTAATTTCTTTCTTCTAAGGGGCTGATTTGGTTTGACCTGTTGAGAATGGTGTCCATTATCTAATGAGTCAGGAGAGAAAGGGATTTTTGTGGTTACATGTAAACTTGTGATAGGTCTGCAGAAGTTACAGGGGAAGAGGGTAGTGAGAAGTCAGCCACGATCCACCTATGTGAAGGTCACACCAGCTTCATTGTACACTCTGAAGACTTTCTCAATGGCATTGACATAGGCAGCTGTTCTCAGGTCCAATCCCAGATTATACTTCATGGCTGTGCGCATAATTTGCTGAAATGAAAGAGAAAGTGCAGTGAAGACCACCCCAACTCAAGTAGCTGGGCCATGAACACACAAGGCCCAGACTGGCCTGGTATAAATTACCCTGTTATCATTTCAGGGCAGGATGTAGGCAGCCAAAGCCAAACTACTTTGGCAGTAGAACAATCTCTAGGCAGGAAGGACTAATTCTCTGGAATTAATAAAAATAATTATAGGCAGTAAGAAATCACACTTTAGACATCCTGTTATCTGGAACAAGTTCATTTGATATACTTTATGATTGTTTAAAAGAACTAACAACAGGCCAGGCACTGTAGCTCATGCCTATAATCCTAGCATTTTGGGAGGCCGAGGCAGGAGAATTGCTTGAGGCCAGGAGTTTGAGACCAGCCTGACAAGAGCGAGACTTCTGTCTCTATTAAAAATAGAAAAAATTAGCCAGGCATGGTGGCACATGCTTGGAGTCCCAGCTACTAGGGAGGCTGAGGCAGGAAGATCACTAGAGCCCAGGAGTTTGAGGTTGCAGTGAGCTACGATGATGCCAGGCAACAGAGTGAGACCCTATGTCAAAAAAAAAAAAAAAGACTAACAATGGGATGAGGAAAACTAGAATTACATAGCAGTGACGGCCACACAGCCTAGTGAGTACTGAAGGCTGAACTGTATACTTTAGAAGGATGAATTTATAGTATATCAATTATCTCAATAAAAATTTAACAAAAACATCACTAAGAAGCATCACCTTCTTTATCGAATCTGTT